TGTAGTCCCAGCTACTTGGGAGGCTGAGGCAGAAGAATCGCCTAAGCCCAGGAGTTGGAGGTTGCTGGAGCGACTCCGCTGCACCCTACCGAGGGCGAAAAAGTGAGACTCTGTCTCTACAAAAAAAAGAAAAAATTTTTTAAAAGATTAAAATCATAAAATTCTTCTCTAATCAGAATGAAATGAAATAATCCATTTCCTACTAAGAGGAGGAAAGCTAGAAGTTTTATAAATATTAATTATGAAATTCAAGTTGATTTTAGACATCCAGTAGAAGAAAGAAATGACAAAGGAAATTAGAAAATATTTGCAATGGAATGAAAAGGAATACAGAACCTATCAAAATCTGTGCAGTACCACAAAAGCATTGCTAAGAGGGAAATTTATAACTACATTTAAAAAGAAAAATGATCATAGATCTTTCATATACAAAACAATGTATTGATTTGTTATAAAAATTTTGTGATCAGATGCTTACAGGAACCTACCCTGAATTTCCCCTGGAGCAATAGGTCTATATTCACTCATTCATTGTTTGCAGTGACTTTATAAAGCATAACTGCCACAAGTAGAATTGATTGTACACTCATGAGTTGCTTAATGATGGGGATACATTCTGAGAAATGGGTTCTAAATTTTTGTCCTTATGCAAACATCATAGAGTGTACTTGAATGAACCTAGGTGGTATAGCATACTACATACCTTGAGCAACATGTTAGAGCCAATTGCTTCTAGGCTATAAATCTATCTAGCACATTGCTGTCCTGAATTTAATAGGCAGTTGTAACATAATGGTCTGTGTCTGGGTATCTAAACAGAAAAAGTACAGTAAAAATACGATGTAAAATATAGAACATGGCACACATCCATAAGGCATTTATAATGCATGATTAGAGCTTATAAGACTGGAAGTTGCGGGTGGTGCCTGTGGCCCAAAGGAGTAGGGCACTGGCCCCATATGCTGGAGGTGGCAGGTTCAAACCCAGCCCCAGCCAAAAAAAAAAAAAAGACTGGAAGTTGCTCAGGGTGAGTGAGTCAATGAATAAGTGGTGAGTGCATGTGAAGCCTAGAGCATTGCTGAATGCTACTGTAGACCTTATGGATACTATCCTCATAGCCTACACTACCTTTTTAAAAAATAAATAATTGCATTGTGACATTATGCTGGCTGCAAAGTCACTAGGTGATAGGAAATTTTCAGCTCCCTTATAATCTTATGGAATCACTGTCATAAATTTGGTCCATTGTTGACTAAAGCATCATTATATAGGACATGGCTATATATGGTACAGGAGTAGGATGTAAAGAAACTAATTTTTTAGAGTGTGTGTAAACAAGGCATCCGAAAGGGGGCAGCATTTGAGTTCAATTTTAAAAAATGAGTAATAGTTCAAAATTTTTTAAAAAATGAAAATGAGGCTCAGCATCTGTAGCACAGTGTTTATGGCGTCAGCCACATGCACCGAGGGTGGCAGGTTCAAACCCAGCCTGGGCCAACTAAACAACAATGACAACTGTAACCAAAAAATAGCCGGGCATTGTGGTGGGCACCTGTAGCCTCAGCTACTCAGGAGGCTGAGGCAAGAGAATCGCTTAAGCCCAAGAGCTGGAGGTTGCTGTGAGCTGTGATGCCACGGCACTTTACCAAGGGGGACAAAGTGAAAGTCTGTCTCTAAGAAAAAAAAAAAAGAAAGCCTTCAGAGCATGGTGTCTCCTGCCTATAATCCTAGCTACTCTAAATGCTGAGGCAGGAGGATTTTATAAGGCTAGGAGTTTGAGTCCAGCCTGGACAATGTAGTGAGACCTTGTCTCTAATAAAATGAAAGAAAATTAGCTAGGTGTGCCTGTAGTCCCAGGTATTCAAGAGGCTGAGGAGGACGGATCACTTGAGCCGAGGAGCTTATGGCTACTATAGTGAGCATGATCATACCACTGCATTCCGACCTGAGTGACACCACAAGATCCTGTCTCTAAATGAATGAACAAATGAAAATAAAAATGGCATTCATTTTTTTAATAGCAAATATCTAGGGACTGTTCAAATTTCTTTATCTAAAAAATATTTTTTGTGGTTGGTTTGTTTAAATCAACTGCCACATTGCATTTGATTGATATGTCTCTTAAGTCTTTCTTTCTTCCTTTATTTATTTACTTATTTATTTTAAGATAGAGTTTCAATCTGTTGCCCTGGATAGAGTGCCATGGTATCTTCATAGATCAACGACATCAAACTCTTGGGCTCAAGAGATCCTCTTGCCTCAGCCTCCCGAGTAGCTGGGACTATAGGCTTGCATGACCATGCCTATGGATCACACCTAGCTAGTTTTTCTGTTTTCGGTAGAGACAGGGTCTCTCTCTTGCTTAGGCTGATCTCAAAATCCTGAGCTGAAGCTATTACCTGCCTTGGCCTCCCAGAGTGCTAGGATTATGGGCATGAGCCACTGTGCCCCATCTTCTAAAGTCTTTATATAGATACCTTTTTTTTTTATCTCTTTTATGTTTTTTTCCTGCCACTTTTATAAGATATGTTTAGTGC